TAAAGACAGTGTTTATTAAACTACATTTCATTTACATTGAACAGAAATTCACTGTCAAAGTGTGGATACAGTTTTTGGGATACCTTCTAGATGAATGGAAAAAATGAAAGAGCCCAACCCTATTATTTTTTAAAACTTACAATTTAGTTTGTTTGAAAACACGTTAAAAAGAAGACCCAGGGTCAGGAGCTTGCCAAGACACTTAGGTTATGCTGCCTAGCATCGCCTCAAGCAGGTGAGAAACGACCACGTCTGCTATCACAATGGCTTCCCCTTGACGAAGACGCTCAGGACAATACTGCTTACACCACACTGAGTGAGCACCGCTTTGCCCGCTCCGGGGATCAGCCCATTTCCCTCCAAACAGTCCGGCTGGAGCGCACAGGAGGGCTCCGGGCCGCCATGCCGCTGTGCTGCTTGGCACTGCCAGGAGGTACAGGGACCAGGTGCACCCAGAGGCTGTGCCGTGTCTCCCTGGGGACTCTGCTGGGGGCGCTGCACACCTCGGGAGGGGGCCCGCTCCAGGCCTCAGCGGGGCAGGCCCTCAGCATGGCCGTGTCTAGGCCCTTCCTTCGCCGCCCCCCTCCCCCCCAGTGCCCCAAGGAGGACCGGGGATTGTGTTCTGTGGGCCGGTCCAGGGCCCTCCAGGGCCCAGACACCCCAAATACTGTCCCCCAAACCCTTTACCTGCCCCCTGCCCTGGTGGGCCCAGCCCCTCCTAGTCCGGGTTACGCCAGGCCTTCCAGGGCCATGGCGGCCATGATGCCTGAGAGGACAGAGGCGCTGCCCTCGAGGCCCTTCCTCCTAGGAGGCCACAGACCCCGCGGCTCTGCCCCCACCCAAACCCGTGGGCCTTCTCCTCACACTCTGCCATATTAATTAAAGTCCCGGAGGGCAGCTCTGTGGACCTACCAGGTGAATGTGCACCAGCGAGAAGGAATCAAAATGGAAGGAACAGGGCCGCCTGTTGCGCACTTCTCCTCAGCGAACTCGGACAGCAAAGCGCATGCGCAGCAACCAACTTGCCTTAAAGGCACAGACACGGATGTGGCCTTATATGGAAATGAACAGTCTGAACTGTGCAGCTCTGGGCATGCGCAGGTATGAGCATATGGACTAACTTGGCTCCTGAGATAGTTGTGGTTTCCCTGCTCAGGCATCAGAGCATTGTAATCTGTAGGTCAGCGCTGGTCAAGAAAGCAGCTCCGAGTATATTTTTTCCCTACCCCTAAATATTCTTATGCTTTCAGAAACTTTGTGGACAGACACGCTAAGTTTAACCTTCATTAGAATGTTTCAAAAACATGGCCGTGATGGAAACGTATTTTAATACCATGTTTACACGTGTACTTTGATGAGTCACTGCTTTCTGTTTCTGGGATTTGTTTCATGCTTACAAGGAATTTGCTCACTTCCATAAATTAAATTTACCCACCAGTTTTTTTAACTTTTTTTTTTTTTTTTTTTTTTTTTTTTTTTTTTTTTTGCGTGTTACGGTACACACATCTCCAGACGGTAAATGTTTCTCTGAACATACCTGTGGTCACTCGGTCAGTGTATGGTTTACCAATACCCTTAGATAATGGTGCTAGCATTTAGGCTCAGTTCTCTGTCACTTGCTGCATCCTGTACTCTACTTTCCAATCATCAGACCAACAATTTTCTAGGCAAAGATCACTTAAAGCCTATCACTACAGTAGTCATGTACATTTCTTTTCCTGTATACAACACTTTAAGTTTTTATAATGAGAAACAAGGATTTATAACTCAGAACTTAAATCCCCAAATATGCTTTCAATGGGATTCAAGTGACAAGATTTGTGTACACTCTGTTCTACCTTAATTTTGAGGGTTAAATTAGGTGATACATGTATGGAACCCAGCTCAGATAGGTGGTAAATGGTAGTGTACATTCTCTAAATATGACTGATTTCCATTATGAAAAATCTGAAATAATGGAGCTATTGGTATATGTAAGTGAGGATGTGATCAGGTCATGACCGTGGAGGGGAGACTGAAATGATCTAGGCCAGTGTCTCCCAAACTTTTGACATATGTGTACCCCTTCTATAATTTTCGTAATGCTGAGTACCCCTCATACTAATGAGAACATAGAATTAGGTGCAGCTAAGCACAGTGCAGTGCCTATCCCCACCAAACTCTTCCTGTACCCCTGGGGGTACGCCTACCACACTTTGGGAAACACTGATCTAGGCCATAGAGCCATGATTTTACTTTACTGGGTGTATAAGTTCGGTATCAGCATAGAACCTAGAGCAGGTATCTTTCTGAATGATTGCATCATTAGAGAGGTATCTCACAGGGAAGATGTGCATTCTACAAAGGTGGATGTGACGGGCACCCGAACCATCCCCTTCTGCCTCTTCTCTGTAAGTAGGCTCTGATACTAAAAATCTGAGATGCTGCCCAGATAGAGCCAATCATGAGAAAGCCTATTGCTGCATTTCTCCTCGCCTTGTGGAGAACTGAGTTTCATGGAACAGAAGAAGAGTTTTTACCTATCAATTCCTTTCATGCAATTAGTGTACATCAAATAAAATATGGGCTAATGTCGCTCATGTGGTCATTCATAAACAACCTAAACAAAGTATCAAGACAGAGATTACTCACCAGATTAAAATAAAATTACTCACCATGACCAAGCGCTCTTCCGTTGAAGCAATACAAGATTTGATTAACCATAGGAACTTATCTATGTAACTCACCATATTAACAGATTAATGGAAGGGCCAATCTTATGATCAGTTCAACAAATACACAAGTTTCTGATAGAGGTCAACATATATTCAAAAATTCTTAACAGACTGAGATGGGAATGGAAGCTCCTTTACTCCACAGTGAACATGGTGAAATGTTAAAAATTTCCCATTTCCGCCAAAACCGGTTTGGCTCAATGGATAGAGCGTCGGCCTGAAGACTGAAAGGTCCCAGGTTCGATTCCGGTCAAGGGCATGTGCCTTGGTTGCGGGTACATCTCCAGTAGGGGGTATGCAAGAGGCAGCTAATCGATGTTTCTCTCTCATGGATGTCTCTAACCCTCTCTCTTCCTCTCTGTAAAAAAATCAATAAAAATATATTTTTAAAAATTTCCCATTTCCTGCCCAGAGCAGCCGAGTCGGTTGCGGCCAGGCCCGGAGCAGCAGCTGCCAGGCTGGGAGCGGCCAGGCCTGGAGCAGCCGGGTCGGGTGTGGCCAGGCCCGGAGCAGCGGCTGCCAGGTTGGGAGCGGCCAGGCCTGGAGCAGCCGGGTCGGGTGCGGCCAGGCCCGGAGCAGCGGCTGCCAGGCTGGAAGTGGCCAGGCCCGGAGCAGCAGCAGCCAAGTCCAGAGCAACTAGGTCGGGAGCGGCAGTGACCAGACCCGGAGCAGCTGGTTGTGGAACGAACCAGAGCAACAGAGGCCAGGCCCTGAGCAGCCAGGCCCATAACAGCTCGCTCCTCGCCTGCCTCTGCCCCATGGCTGCCTCTCAGACATGGCTGGAAACTTTTGCGGGAACTTGAGGGTCTGCTGAATCAAGTGATGAAGGCTTAGATCTGGATATGTTGAGTTAGTATAGCGCTGGGGTGTTGATCTGTGAGTGCCTTGTGCGGGGCCTGGATGAGGTTGGTTGACCTATTGGGAAATGTCTTTTGTGTGAAGTGTATCATTGGGCATGTGGAGGTATTATTGATTTGAGAAAATGCTAAGTAACTGATTTACTATCTGAAAAGGGATTTACTATCGGGGAAAGGGAGGGAAGAAGAGACTGAACATGGACTGTGCACCTATGGATGAGGACAATGAGGGATGGGGGGGAGGTGGAGGGTGGGGTGGGAACCTGGTGGAGGGGGGAAGAAATGAGGAACCTTTGTAATAATATGAACAATAAAGATTGATTTTAAAAAAAATTTCCCATTTCCTATCAGGAATAAGACAAGTTTGGCAAACTAATTCCAATCTATTAACATTTTATTGCGTGGCTCAATCTGTTGCTGTAAAATGAGAGAACGAAATAAAGGCTTATTTAAAAAAAAATTCTCATCTGAGGATATTCTTTCCATTGGTTTTTAGAGAGAGTGGAAGGGGAATAAAGAAGGAGGGAGGAAGAGATGGAGGAAGGGAAAGAGAGAGGAAGAGGGAGAGAGGGAGAAACATAGTCATGTGAGATAGACACATTGATTGACTGCTTCTCACATATGACCAGACTGGGGCAGAGGATAGAACTTGTAGTCTGATAAGTACTCTTGAAGAGGAATTGATTCAAAGACCCAAAGTCTGAGGGGTGAACACTGACAAATGAGTAAAGCCAGCCAACATAGCATAATTTTTAAAATCACCGAAAAAAATTTGTTACCATTCACAAATGATTGGATTGTGCATAGTGAAACTTAGAATCTATCTAGAAGTAACCATTGGGAAACAATAATCCTATATGTTAAAAGGCTAATATGCAAATAAACCAAATGACAGAATGACCAGTCACTATTATGCGCACTGGCCACAAGGGGAAGATACTCAATGTAGGAGCTGCCACCTGATAGTCAGTGCACTCCCACAGGGGGAGTGCCACTCAGCCAGAAGCCAGGCTCAAGCTGGCGAGTGTAGCTGTGGTGGTGGGACCTTCTGCCACCTCTGCGGCAGTGCTAAGGATGTCCACTGCCAGCTCAGTTGGACATCTTCCAACGGCTACTGGACAGTGAGAAGGAGCAGGACCGGCTGAGGGTCCCATATCTGAGTTTATGAATTTTGTGTACCAGATATCTAGTCATATATGACAAGGTTGATGGAAAGAATACCAATGTACAAAGATATCTGCATAAGAAAGCTCATTTGTCATGTAAAACATTGGAAAATGATATAATTTCAATAGCATCAAGATTTTGGGAATACACTTCACAAAAGATTTGCAAGATTCCTTGGATAATGCTGCAAAACTTTATTGAGAGAACTTTAACACTGTAGTATCCACCATAGGACTAATCTGTGTCTTGATATCATCTTCCTTTAAACATGTGGTTTCCCTTCTCCTGCAAGGAAACAGAACTGGTTGGAACATTCCTTAGTCTCATTACATTTAGATGACATTAAAGGTACACAAAGGACAAAGTTTAGGTTTTATAAAACAGACTTCCATGCATACATTTTACCAATATTGACTAAACACTCTTTCTACTGGAACTCAGAAACAAAAAGACTGTTCCAGTTCCTAGCACAGGAAATGAAATGAACCTATGAAAAGGTGGTTTTAAATAGTCAGCAAGAAATGTGTAAGTATTAAAAAAAAATGTGAACACCATCCAACAGAAAACCCATAAGAAACAAAAGTTTACAAGGAATGCTTTGATTTGAAATAATATTCTGAATATAACATAGCTAAAATATTATTGTTTTATTTGTTCTTGCTTATGTGAAGTAAACAGAAAGGCCGGTACTACCTTTGCTTCTTCATTATGGTACATGAAAAGCAAAAATATTTCTTGGGCTCCTTTACCCTTTTTATGCAATTATTTGAATAGGGTAACCACGTATTCCTAATTCCATCTGTAGTCCTAGTGTAATTGTAAATTATTATTTTATCACAGTGTATGAGTTTCAATTTGTATAATCACTTTTACAATCACACAAAGTTTAAGTCAGTAACACCATTTTTTATACCAAAATGTGAAGCTTATTTATAGAATGCCTTATAGGAAGACAGAAAAACAACGATAAAGAAAACACACAGAATACAATAGAATCGGGGGTATAGAAAGCGAGTGAACAGACAATTCTCAGGGGGAAAGGTGTGTGTGGGGTGTGGCAAGAGACTAGACAAGAATCATATTCCCATGGATGAGGACAATGGAGAGTGGGGAGGAAGGGCAGAGGTTGGGGTTGGAACAGGGTTGAGGGGAACTATGAGGAAATAAGATGAACAACTGTAATAATCTGAACAAGAAATATTAATTAAACACACACACACACACACGTAAAGAATGAATGAACGAATGAATAGAGGGAGGACGTAGCAGAGGGGAAGAAAGAATGAGAGAATGAGAAAGATACATAGACAAGTAAAAAAAAATTGGTTTTTAAAATACAATGATTTCTAAACACTTTATAGAGGAACCTTAAACTATTGTATATATTGAAACAGTAAACATAGTGATTGGCTGTATGTATGCATTGTGGCATGATTATTAAGGTAAATATAGGTCATTAACCCATCCCTCAACTTACCTAGTTAACTTATATTTTTTGTGCTGAGAATGCTTAAGATATGTTCTCATCAACTTTCATGAATATATTACCATGTCATTAGCTAAAAGTAAGCGCTTAGGAGGGACAACTCTGAACTAATTTCCGAAAATTTCCCATGATATTTTCTATTTTTAGATATTCAGGTGCTACTGAATTATATTAGATAAAATATGTTTTCCTGGACTATGAAACATTCCATCCATATTTTGAAAATATTTAGAGTTCAAGAATTTCTTTACTTTCAATTTTATAAAATACTCAGTATCTGTTGGTTTGCTGTTCATGTTCCTTATTGGGTATACTTAGGCTTCTTTCATTTTACTCCAGATTATGTAACTAATGGAATCTTAAATATCTCTTGTAAGAGCCATCTTTTTATTTTTTAAATTGTATTAGTTTTCATTTTCCTTAAGATTTATACTCGTATTACTTACTATATCTTTCTCCTTAGCTTAATTTCTTTGTTCCTTTCTCCTAATGTTTATTTTTGGATGGTCATGTAATTTATTATCTATTTAGTAAAGCTTATCTTTAAACTCCATGATATTTCCCTGGGCCCATTTCAGCCACATTTAATTGGGTCCTGGATGTAATCTTAAAACCTTCTCTTATTGCAAATAAGTCTAATTAAATGGTTCAGCTATGTAGAGTAAATAGTTCAGAAGACTAGCTCAAGGCAATTTCCTTCCCTGAAAATCAAGTGCTTCCTTTAAATTTAGAAGTTCTTGTAATTATTAGAGGTCACCCTGGAAAATGCATGAATTGCATTCTTGATGAATAACATATCTGCTTCTGGCATGTAAATGTGCTCTAGATTTAGTAACATCTCCCCTTTTACTTCAAGCCCATCTCTGTCCTCACCCTCAGTCTTTGGCTGAGTCATTTCCTGGAGATCACCTTCCAGGAGAAGCCCTTAAAATTTTTATCAATTTGAGTGGTCAATCATATCAATATTTGATATGATTATAAGACCTTATCTCATACTACCCATATTTCTATAAGGAACATGAGCCTATTAAATCTGACAGTGATGACAGGGAGCATGCTTAGCATAGGTGTCTTACTCACACCTGTCTTGAGCATCAGTGATCGCCTACACTCTCTTTACTGATCAGAGAAAATAAAAACTGGTCTATTTCTTGGTATTTCATAATTCAATCACTTGATGCTTCATTGGGGAAAGAACTTAAATTCAATTGCTTATTAGAGCCAGAATTATTGAAAATTTGACAGTCTAAGAACAGGTATCCATGTCTATAGTTAGAAAAAGAAACATCAGTGGAATGATTCCTCATAATTTTAGTAGATATGTGATTTCTGGTCAGGTGTTTAAATGTGACTCAAGAACATAATTTATGACAACTACGTCATAAAATTAAAGTATCTTTGTATTCTTTCCAATACGAGTAGAGAATCCAATGATCATCATACAAAATTAATATATTTTATTTGAATTTACTGTGTAAGAGCATATATCAGTTCCGAAATTAAGAACTCTCCTATAAATTTACAAATTATATTAAAGCTGGTAGTGCAATCTACTTCAGTGTCTCAGAATATTTCATACTCTTGATATTTATTTCAAATGCATTATCTGCAGAAACCATAAGAGAATCAAATATGTATTAGCTGTTGTTTCAAGTACTTGCACTCAGAAGTAAGAAAATGTTTTCATATTTTATAATTCAATTTGGCTGTGAACCAGCGTGTTTCTCTATCTGATTATTTAAATCAGGCAGTCCCTTATTTGCAGTCTGAACTACTGCTCAAAGTATCATTATATGTGAATCTACTCATGTAATAATATGTTTGTTATTTCTGGTTATTGAAGGTATAATATTGTAAAAATCAGAAAACACATAAATTTTATTCTTAATTAGTAATATACCTGCTTCTGGCATTTCAATGGTCTCTGGATGTACATAAGCTTGCCCGATGACATCAGAGTTATCTCCACATTCACCCCCAGTCACTGGGTTTACCAGTTCTTGGTTATCATCTTCCAGGTCATCCCCTTAAAAAGAAAGTTATCAATTTCAGCATTAAACATGACATATCAATTAGGAAGTGGTAATATTCATTTCTTCAGTTACATGAAAAAAGCCTATAATCTAGTATAATAATATGTTATAGAAATATGGACTTTACATCCTTGTTTTTCTGTAGTATGAAACTTGTTGCAAATGACAATCTGAAGTTCAACCAAAAGCCATGTGCCTTTCCTATACATGACCATAGTGTGTTAACACAAGTAGAGAGCATAAGCTATCAATGAAATCTGAGGTGTATACCATGGATAGTATTTTATTACAATTAAAATATAATCATCTAATTTCAAGTAAACCACCTAATCTCAGACCTAAAAGAACTAGAAAAAGAACAAAGTAAGTGCAAACTCAGTGGAAGGAAGGAAATCAGAACAATCAGAGTGAAAGTAAACACAATAGACTTTAAAAAGTAAATATAAAAGATGAAGGCATTAGCTAAAGATCATATATGCATAGCCCATGGACATGGTCAATACGTTTGTGAAGGCCAAGTGAGGGAGAAGTGGCAGCTGGAGGAGGTCAACCAAAGCAGGGGAAGTTGTATAGCAGTAATAATGTCAACATTAAAATTTTAAATGATAAAATATATCAATAAAACCAGCAGCTGGTTCTTTTAAAAAGATAAAAAGATAAAGATTGATAATCCTTTAATCAGACTCATTAAAAAAAAGAGTACTCAAATAAATGAAATAAGAAATGAATGAGAAATAACAACAAACACCACAGAAATACAGAGGATTATAAGAAAATTTTAGGATTAAGCATATGCCAACAAGTTGGACAATCTGGAAGAAATGGATGAATTCTTAGAAACATATAACCTTCCAAATTGAATTAAGAAGAAACAGAAAATCTGTATAGGCCTATTACAACTAATGAAACCAACTCTGTAATAATAATTAAAAAAACAAGTCTCTGACCTGCTGATTTTACAGGTGAATTTTCCCAAGCCTTCAAAGACCTGACACCTATCCTTCTCAAACTACTCCCAAAAATACTGAAGAGGGGAGAAAACTCCCAAGCTCATTTCATGAGGCCAGCATCATCCTAATTCCAAAACCAAATAAAGACACTACAAGAAAGAATATTATGTCAAATATCTCTGATGAAAATAGATGCAAAGATCCTCAACCAAATATAGGCAAATCAAACTGCTCAATAAATTAAAAAGATCATATTCCCTGATCAAGCGGGATTTATTTCTGGGATGCAAGTTCAGTATAATGTCCACGAATCAGTTAATGTGATACTCACCAAAAAACCAAATGAAGGCAAAAGATTATGTGAACAAATCAAAAGATACAGCAAAAATAATTTGATAAAATCCAGTACCGCCTTATGATAGAAACTCTTAGCAAACCGGAAATAAAGAAAACATAATTTATCATAATAAAGGCTATATATATGACAAATCCAAAGCTAATATACTCAACTGGGAAAAACCAAAAGCATTTCCTTTAAAGATGTAAAGGAAAGCATAGAAAATATAGATCAATGGGATATAACAGAGAGCCCAGAAGCAAACCCATGCCTCTATGGTCTATTAATATATAACAAAGGAGGGAAAAACATGCAATGATATAATGGCAGTCTATGCAGTAAATGGAGTTGGCAAAATCGGGCGGATACATCTACAAAAATAAACTAGACCATCATCTTACACCAATACACAAGAGTAAACACAGAATGGGTTAAAGGCTTAACTGTAGGACTGAAAACCATTTACCTCCTCGAAGAAAACACAGGCAGTAAAATCTCTTGTTTCTCTCAGCAATATTCTTTATGATCTATGTTCTCGAGATAGATCACACATTAAAAGGGGTTTGAATAGCAATGAATATGATTTAAAAAAAATAGAAAAGCAACCTCCTGAATGGGTGAAGATATTCTCTAATTATACACTTAGGGCTGTATGACTTCTTTTTAATTTTTGGGTGTCAACATCCAAAAATTAAAAAGAAGTCATACAGCCCTAACTGGTTTGGCTCAGTGGATGGAGCGTCGGCCTTCTGACTAAAAGATCCCAGGTTCGATTCCAGTCAAGGGCATTTACCTTTGTTGTGGGCACATCCCCAGTAGGAGGTGTGCAGAAGGCAGCTGATCAATGTTTCTCTCTCTTCGATGTTTCTACCTCTCTATCCCTCTCCCTTCTTCTCTGAAAAAAATCAATAAAATATATTATTAAAAAAAGAAGTCCTACAGTTCAATAACAAAACCAAACCAAAACCAAAACAAACAAAATATCTAAAAAAACAAAAAGAGGACCTGAATAGACTCTCAGGGCTTACAGGTGGCCAATAAAAATATGATAAGATGTTCAATGTCACTAGTTATCAGAAAAATGTGCAACAAAACTTTAATGAGATATTATCTCATATGTGTCAGAATGGCCATCATCAATAAACCTACAAATAGTATGTCGTGACGAGGATGTGGAGAAAGGGGAACCCACATGCACTGTTGGCCCAGTGCAGGTCAATGCAGTCACTTAGGAAAACAGGATGGAGGGTCCTCAAAAAAATTTTAAATGAACTGCATTATGATCCAGTGATTAGAAATTCTTATCAGATATGCAAAGAATTCCAAAACAGTAATCAGAAAGAATATATGCTTGTCTGTGTTCATTACAGTGTTATTCAAGATATGGAAGCAAACCAAGTGCCCATCAATAGTCAAGTGGATAAAAAATGGTGATACACACACACACACACACACACACACACACACACACACACACACACAGAAATATTATGAGACCATACGAAAGAATGAAATATTGCCATTTGTGACAGCATGGATGGACCTAGATGGATGGGCTAATACTAAGAGAAACAAATAATTGAGGTAAAGACAAGTATCATACAATTTCACTAACATGTGAAATCTAAAGTACACTATAGGGGGGTGAGTTGGGGGTAAATGGAGGAATGAGGACACATAGGTAATACTTTAGTCAATAAAAAAATAGCAAAAAGAAATATTGACTAAAAATAAAGTATACTATGTAGAGACAAAAAAGACAGAAACAACTTCACAGATACAGAGAACAGACTAGTGGTTGTCAGATGGGAGGGAGGTTGGGGGAGTGGGTTAAAAATGTGAAGGGTTGAGAGAGAAAAAAGATGGCAGCTGGCAGATCAGCAGTGAGGACGAGAGTGTGAGTGAGTGAGTAAGGGAGAAAAAGAGGAGTGAAGGACAGTTAGATTCCACAGGACTTTTGGGGGCTGGTGGACTGGGCTCCCCTAGCTGGGCAATCCCTGCTACAGCTGCAATCTATCCCAGGGAGACTGTACCATAGAGGCATGCCATCATGAAGTGGAGAGCTGCTGTGTCTGGGAGCCCAGCCTCACCTCCACCCAGGGTGCCCTCAGACACCATAGGGGACCCTATACCCACTCCGGCCATGGACCTGCTGCCTCAGCTGCAGACCCATGAACACGGGGACTCCAGCCTCCCAGGCCACAGGATCCTGTGAGTTCCAGAGGGCGCTTCCCTCTCATTGGCCGGAAACTTTAGCCCTGGGGTGGCCTCGACTGCAGGCAAACATCCAAGCCTTACACAGAAACTCCAGTTGCCCTGTCTGCACACAAACTACCAAGCCTCATGGAAAAACTCTGGGAATGAAGCTCTACGCAACAACTTCAGGCACCATGACCTTGCTAGCAACCACCAAGCCCAAGAAGCAACCCCAGGTGCCACAACTGAGCATGAGCAGCCAAGCCCTGTGCAGCAACACTTAGTGCCTCATGTAGTAACACCAGGTATCATGACCATGCGAATTGCCACCAAGACTCATGCATTGACCCGGGCTTTGTGGCTATGTGCCCACCACCATGCCTGCTGCTGTAGGCACAGGCCCAGAGTGACTTAATGCCTAGATCCTTAGGTGAGAGCAAAAACGGGGAGACAAAAAAAAATAAAAATAACCTCCAAAGGAAAGAAGAGGAGGAATCACCAGAAAAGGAATTAAATGAAATAGAGGCATGCAATTTGTCACAAGAAGAATTCAGAGTAAAGGTCATACAGTTCATAAACCACATGGATGAGAAAACCAGCAACTTATCTAAGAATTGAGAGGAAATAAAGAGTGATACAGCTACAATAAAAACACTATGTAAGATTTCAAAGCAGACTTTAAAAAGCGGAGGACGGAATTCTTGAATTAGAAGACAGGGCATCAAAACACATCCAATCTGAACTGCAAGTGGAGAAAAAAATTAAAAGGTAGGACAGCCTAAGGGAGCTATGGGACAACATGAAACGAAGCAATATATGTATAACTTGGGTGCCAGAACAACAAGAAGAGCAAGGGTTAGAAAACCTACTTGAAGAAATAATGTCAGGAAATGTGCCTCATTTGGGTGAAGAAGAAAGTCACACAAGCACAGAGAGTCACAATCAAGACGAACCCCAAAATACCCACAGCAAGACACATTGTAATTATGATGGCAAATGTTAATCACAAAGAGAGATGCTTAAAGGCTGCAAGAGAGAGACCAAGAGTTATTTACAAAGGATATCCCATTATATTATCCCATGATTTCTCAATAGAACCACATCAGGATAGAAAGGGAGGAAGAACTATACAAAGTGATTCAGGGCAGGGGACTAGGTTCAAGAATACTCTATCCAATAAGGCTATTGTTTAAAATTGAAGGGGAAATCAGGAGCTTCACCGACAAAAATAAATAAATAAATAAAAATAAAAAATAAATCCCAAGGGAATTTATCATTATCAAGCAAGCAATGCAAGAAATGAAAAAAAAAAAAAGACTGTTGTAAAAAGAAGAAATAAAAAGGGAAGAAGGGACACAGGCACAAAAAATAAAAATGGCTACAAACAAGTACCTATTAATAATAACCTTGAATATAAATGGACTGAATGCTCCAATCAAAAGGCACTGAGTGGCTTAGTGCATAATAAAACATGACCCATATATATGCTGTCTGCAGGGGACCCATCTCAAAACAAGGTACACATGTAGACTGATAATGAAGGGATGAAAAAATATCTTTCAGGCAAATGGAAATGAAAAAAAAAAAGCTGGGGTAGCAATACTTATATTGAACAAAATAGATATTACAGCGAAGGCCATGATAAGACATAAGAAAGGCCACTTCGTAATACTAAAGGGATCAATACAACAAGAAGATATAATATAGTAAACACATATACACCCAATAAAGGGGCACCCAAATACAAAACAAAACAAAACAAAACAAAACAAAACAGAAAAAAATTTATGGAAGATATCAAGGGAGATATTGACAACAATTCAATTATAGTAGGGACTTTAATACCCCACTGATATCACTGGTTAAAACTTTTTTTTGTAGTCAAAACTATACAGTTACTTCTGGCTTAAGAAGGATTGTGCTTTCAAGAACATAACATAAATCCTGAAAATAAAGAGAAAACGCACAGTGATAGAGCATGCACAGCTATAAATGATACAACCATAAAAATTTCAACCAATTTCCAGGAAATTCTTAGATTGCCTTTTAAAATTAAACTAGATACCTGGTGCACAAATTTAAAAAAAAATAATTATTTGGGAGGTGTCCTTAGGCCTGGCCAAATGATCAGGGCCAATCAGGTTCTCTGCCACTCCCCCTCCTCCTTCCCCATCTACCTCCATGCTGCAAATGTGTGGTTCTCTCTTCCCTTCCTTTGCCATCTGTGTCTGCCCCCACCCACCCCCAGTTCCCTAGCCCAGCCCAGGGCGTATCTGATTGGTTGACCTGGACCTGCCAGCCTGGGGTAGGGACCAGGAAGTTGGCTGGTAGGCCTCATTGGCGACTGTGGCCTGCGGGCTGGGGGAAACTCCTGTGTTGAGCGTCAACTCCTTGGTGGTCAGTTCTCATCATAGTGACCAGTTGTTCCAGTCATTCCATTGTAAAGGTCATTTAGGGTTTTATATCTACAGATGTATTTTATCTGACTTCAAAGTGGAGAGGAGAGACATAGAAACAATAATGAGGGAGAACAACTGATCCGCTACTTCCTGAATGCTCCACACTGAGGATGGAGTCTGCCAACTAGGCATATACCCTGACCTGAAATTTAACCATAATCTCCTGGTTCATAGTTTAATGCTTAGCCACTGAACACACTAGAGGGCTGCGTAGTTTTTTCATACTTACTTTCCAACAGCTATGGTATGCATAATACATGACAGACAGAGAGACCCCGTTTTCTTACCTTCCCCTTCACCTTGAACCTCAGGCTCAGGTGCTCCTGCATCTCCTTGCTCTTCCTCAAGTCTAACATCCTGATTCTCAGTGGGTGGCTCCTCTTGTTTTGGTTTATCATCACTGGGCAGCTGGTCCTAGGGGAGTGTGTGCGCGTAAATAAAAGGTTTTGTTAGTACATTTCAATCATAAAAATATACATAATATACACTCATGTATAATCACGAATAAGAATAAAGGCATTTTAGACATGATATATTTATATTCTTAATATTGTTTCTCTTCCCTCTGCCTGGTTCCTTGGAGAGAAGCTGCCCACAAGGACTTCTAAAGCTGAAGCTCTATTAAACTCTCCTGGGATGGATGAGGGCTGACTGTGTTAATGAGCATGAGAAAGGAGCCATAGGGGGTATTTCCACTGGCAATGGCAGAGAGCAAACCTCCTGGATCAAGGTTTCCTTCCTCAGGAACACTCCTGGTCCAATGTTACCCCCTTATCAGCTCAGAAACTTTTAACACTGTACCTAGAGGCATCCAACAAAGCTTATAGAAAAATATGTTACTTGTAATAGACAGTTCAAATATCAAGGCACTCACAGCCACGGATCCAACTTGCTGTTCAGACTCTTCATCTTCTACTACTATGGAACTCCAGTCATCTTTTGATGTTACAATCCGACTCATATTTCCCACTGAAAGTAGAACAATTTGATTAAGGAAATATAGTTAAAAGGATAACTAGACCACCTCCATGGCTAAAATGTTTTTTCATTTTTTTTTTAAATTCCCTTTTTACTATTTGGTGTTTCCAAATCATTATTAAAATTTTTTTTATTGAAATAATCAGTGGCCTGATGCATGAAATTCATGCACACTAAAAGGGAATTAGAGGAAATATTTTAATATTGCTATTTGCCCTTTTGTATAATAGAAATATCAGAGATAAAATAAAATCAGTAAAATATATATGAAAGTCTCCCTCCTGTCACAGTCTAGGGCGCACAGAGGGATCCCGAGTCAAGTCCCTACTAACCTACATGGCCCTCAAAATTGATTGAGACCCAGACCCTGCCCGCCCCCACCCTCATCGGGCTAGATCCAGACCTGGACAGTCCCATCCTTGTCAAGCCCCATTGGGCAGTAGACATACCCTAAGGGACCCTGGCCCAGTGCCAGGACAGCAGGGGGGAGGGGCGGGGCCGGAGGTTCACCAGCACAGACCAAGGTGGAGGATGTGTCTTGCAGTCCCCAACAAGCCCTGCCTAGTGGGAGACACAGACTGAGATTCCCTGTCAAGAATTGCTGGGTGGGAGGCATGGCCTGAGGTCCCTGGTCAAGCCCCATCAGATGGTGTGGAGCAGCTTCAGTTCTCCCAGAGAGGAGGGAAGCCTCAGGTCCCCCGCAAGGCCCGCTGGGTAGTGGCATGTCCTGATGTCTACTGTCAAGCCCCATGTGGTGGGGGGCCAGACATGAGGTCCTGCGCCCTGGTGCTGGGGCGAAGATGTAGCCTGAGGTACTGTAGCACAGCACCAGGACAGGAAGCACACCTTGAGGCCCCCTGTCAAGCCCTGACAAGTGGGGGTGGGCCTGAGATCCCCTGTCAAGCCCTGCCCTGTGGGGGACAGGGCATGAAGTCCCCCGTCAGGCCCCACTGGGCCAGGGCAGGGCTTAGCCTCAGGTCCCTGCTGATTGCTCATTAAGGCTTCTTATAGGAACTTGGCCTCGACTGTGGATGCTGCCATGTCTGTGATGGAGTGATGGTCAATTAGCATATTCCCTCTTTATTAGATAGGATTAGATAGATAGGAATTGGGGTGACATTTGTTAATAAAATAAAAATCACACATGTTTCATGTATACAATTCTCTAATACATCATTTGCATGTTGTATTATTCTCATCACCAAAATTCCAGTCTCCTGTCACCATTTCTCACTCCTTTACCCTCTTCTAACTTTCCCACAGCCTTTTCCCTCTTGTAATAACCATACAGCTGTCTGTGTCCTTGAGGTTGTTTTTTGTTTGTTTGTTTGTTTGTTTAAGCCCTTCACCTTTTTCACCCAGCCCAACACTCTCTCCTCTAACAACTGTGCCTATGTGTCTGTTTCTATTTTGTTTGTTTGTTCACTTTGTTCATTATGTTCCACAAGTAAATGAAACCATGTCCCTCAAAGAATTAACATAATTAAAATGAGCATCCGACACAAAACAATCTACAGACTCAACCTAATTCCTAACAGAACACCAATGGTGCATTTCTAGAACTATTATTTCAAATAATTATCTGGAACCACAGCAGACTTTGAATAGCCACAGCAATTTTAAGAAGAAAGTTGGAGGAATCATCTTGTCTGATATCATACTGCAAAGTCATAGCAATTAAAACAGCATGATCTTGCGTAAAAACAGATACATAAAGGCTGTCCCCACAAATGTACAGCCACACTTTAATAACAAAGGCAGTGTTTACTAAAGTAGATTTCATTTACATTTTAACAGAAATTCGCTGTCAAAGTGTATATATAATTTTTGGGATACCTTATAGATGAATGGTAAAAATTAAAGAGCCAAAACTATTATTTTTAAAACTTACAGTTTAGTTTAAGTTTGAAAACAGATTAAAAAGAAGACCCAGGGTCAGTAAGTGAAAGTGCACAGGCTTTCCGGTGATACCAAATACAAGGGCTTTCCAAGCCACCTAGGTCATGGCCATGCTGCCTGCCATCGCCTCAAGCAGGTGAGAAAAGACCACGTCTGCTGTCACAATGGCTTGCCCTTGAGGAAGACGCTCAGGACAATACTGCTTACACCACACTGAGTGAGCACCGCTTTGCCCGCTCCGGGGATCAGCCCATTTCCCTCCAGTCAGTGCAGCTGGAGCGCACAGGAGGGCTCCGGGCCGCCATGCCGCTGTGCTGCTTGGCACTGCCAGGAGGCACAGGGACCAGGTGCATCCAGGGGCTGTGCCCGTGTCTCCCTGGGGACTCTGCTGGGGGCGCTGCACACCCCGGGAGGGGGCCAGCTCCAGGCCTCAGCGGGGCAGGCCCTCAGCATGGCCGTGTCTAGGCCCTTCCTTCGCCGCCCCCCCCACCTTCCCAGCGCCCCAAGGAGGACCGGGGATTGTGTTCTGTGGGCCGGTCCAGGGCCCTCCAGGGCCAGACACCCCAAATACTGTCCCCCAAACCCTTTACCTGCCCCCTGCCCTGGGGCCCAGCCCCTCCTAGTCCGGGTCACCCAGGCCTTCCAGGGCCATGGCGGCCATGATGCCTGAGAGGACAGAGGCGCTGCCCTCGAGGCCCTTCCTCCTAGGAGGCCACAGACCCCGCGGCTCCGCCCCCACCCAAACCCGCGGGCCTTCTCCTCACACTCTGCCATATTAATTAAAGTCCCGGAGGGCAGCTCTGTGGACCTACCAGGTGAATGTGCACCAGCGAGAAGGAATCAAAATGGAAGGAGCACGACCGCCCGTTGCACAGTTATCCTCAGTGAACTCGGACAGCAAAGCGCATGCGCAGCAACCGACTTGGGGGTGGGGGGGGGTCACATGCGTGGAAGTGGCCTTGAATGAAAATGAAGTCTGAACTGTGCAGCTCTGGGCATGCGCACCAGTGGGCGTGGTCTGAAATGCGCATGTGCAGCTATGAGCATACCAGATGATTTGGTTTCCTCATACAGTTGACGTTTTCCCTAGATCAGCCCTGGTCAAGTAAAGGGCTCGACGTTTTGTTTATCCTACCCCCAATCATTTTTATGCTTTCAAAAAGTTTGTGGACAGTCACACTGTTTAACTTTCATGGATAATATTTCAAAAACATGGCCGTGACAGAAACATTTTAAAACCACGTTTTCATGTACACTTTGATGAATCACTGCCTTCTGAAATCTGTGTTTTGTGTCATGCACACAAGGAATTCGCTCACTTCCACAAATTACATACATTCACTCCTGTTTTCTTAAATTCTTTTCTTGTGTTACCGTGCATACATCTCCAGACGGTAACCGTTTCTCTGAATATACCTGTGGTCACTTGGTCATGTATGGTTTACCAATACCCTTAGATAATGGTGCTAGAATTTAGGCTCAGTTCTCTGTCACTTGCTGTGCAGCTGTACTGCATCCTGTACTCTATTTCCAATTATCAGACAAACAACTTGCTAAACAAAGACCAATTAAAGCCTATCACTACAATCATCATGTACAACATCCATTTCCCTATATACACTTTTAGGTATTTTTACATTGAGAAACAAGGATATCTAACTTAGTACTTGAATCCCCAAGTGTGCTTTAAATAGGATTCAATGACAACTTTTATGTATACTATGTTCCACCTTAATTGTGAGGGTTAAATTAGGTGATATATGTATGGAACCCAGCTCAGAGAGGTGGTAATTAGTATATGCTCTATAAATATGACTTATTCCTATTATGAAAGATCTCAATAATTGGAGCTCTTTTTATAAGTACAAAGCTGAGCATGTGGTGAGGTCATTCATTACTATGTAAGAGATTGAAATTATCCAGGAAAGTTAATAGAGCCATGAATTTACTTTACTGGGTGGACAAAACTAAACAAGGCATGCAGACTACCAGCTGTGAGTTTGACATGCTTGGCAAGTTTTATATCAGCATACAACCAGGAGTGGGTAGCTTTCAAGTGACAGCATCATTAGAGGTGTCTACCAGGGAAGATGAGCATCTCACAAAAGCTGAAGTCATGGGCACTTTGAAGCATCCCCTTCTGCTTCTCTGTTGTAAGCAGACTCTGATACTGAAATGAGATGCAACTCAGATAGAGCTGATCATGAGAAAGCCTATTGTCCACTGCTCGCAGTCTTGGAGAGACTTGCATTCCAAACAGAAGAAGATATTTTACATATCAGTTCATTTTAAGAAGCTAGTGTACCTTTGTACCAAAGTCCAAGAAAGAGAGTAGGTGAAATAAAATGGCCTAATGTTGTTCATGAAGTCCTTCGTAAACATCCTGAACAAAGTATTAAGATGTAGTTTATTCAGAAGAATAATATATCATGATCAGCCCCTCTCCCTCCAAGAAAATACCATTTTTTTAAAACTTAGAATGTTATCTATATAACTCTCCATATTAACAGATTAATGGGAGGAAAAATATCCTATGACCAGTTCAACAAATTTACAAGTGTCTGATGGAAGTCAGCATATACTCAAGAATAAAATTCTTTTCAGATTAGGATTGGAATGGAACTTCCTTTCACAGTGAACATGGTAAAATGTTAAATATTTTTCCATTTCATATCAAGAATAAGACAGCTTTGACAAACTAATCCCAACTTTATTATCATTGTACAGGATGGGTCAGTTGTAAAAAGAGAAATGGAAACATAGGTATATTTAAAAAAATCCTCACCAGACGCTATCCTTTACATTGTTTTTTTCAGACAGTATGGAAGGGTGGGAAACGGGGGTAGGGTAGGGAGAGAAAAAGTGAGATACACACACACGCGATTGATTTCCTGCCTCATGTGACCCGACTGGGGAAGAGGATAGAACCTACAATCTGGTAAGTACCCTGGATGGGTAATCCATTCCAAGACCCATAAATCCATGTATGGACACTCTGCCCACAGAGCTAAACCAGGCAAGGTAGTATACATTTTTAAAAAAATCCTCACCTGAGGTTATTTTTTAGTTCATTTTTAGAGAGATTGTAAGAGAGAGGGAAAGACAGAGAGAAATATCGATTTGAGAGAAACATCGATTGGTTGCCTCCTGCATGAGCCCTGACCAGGGCCCAGCAGGGGAGGAGCCTGCAACCAAGGTATGATTGGAATTAAACCCGGGACCCTTTGGTGCACAGGCCAATGCTCTATGCACTGGATAGGTTCTACATAGCACAATTTTTAAAATAGTCAATAAAAACCTATCAGCATTAAAAAATAATTAGATTACACATTATAAAACTTAGAAGCTATCTAGCAATATACTTATAGAAATAATAAGCATACATAGCAAGGTTGCTAAAAAGAATACCAATGTAAAAACACACTGAGTGTCCAGATTATTATGATCTCTGAACACATAATAATCTGGCCACTCAGTGTATATCCTATATGATAAAAGGCCAATATGCAAATTGTCCCCTCAACCAGGAGTTCTATGAGGCGGCAGGCCAACTGCCCATGTTCCCTCCCCCTGGCCAGGCTGGCCAGATCCAACCCATGCACAAATTCATGCAGCATGTCCTAATACACACACACACACACACACACACACACACACACACACACGGACACACACGGACACAAGCACACACACTGAGTGGCCAGATTATTATGCGTTAAGATGTCATAATAATCTGGTCACTCTGTATTTCTTTGTATGAACGATCAATTGGCATGTAATATGTCAGAAAATGATATAATTTTAAATAGCATCAAATTTTTGGGAATATGCTTCACAAAAGATTTGCAAGATTCCTTGGATAATGCTGCAAAACTTTATTGAGAGAACTTTAACAGTGAAGTATCCAACATCAGAAACATCTGTGTGTCTTCAGATCATCTTTCTTTAAATGGGTGGTTTTCCTTCCCCTGCAAGAGAAACATAACTGTTGGGAACATTCCTTAGTCTCATGAGAGTTAGATGACATTAAAGGTACACAAGTACAAAGTTTAGTTTTTATTAGACAGACTTCCACGCCTACATTTTACCAATATTGACTAAACACACTGCTATTTCTGTTGGTACTCAGCAACAAAATGTCTGTTCCAGTTTAGAGGACAGGAAATGAAATGCACCTATTTAAGGGTGGTTTTAAATAGAAAGAAAAATCTGAACACATTCCAACAGAAAACCACTCAGAGAGAAAAAGAAATATACAGAAATGCTTCGATTTGAAATACTATTTTGAATATAGGAGAGCTAAAACTGTATTGTCACATTTATTCCTGCCTATGTGAAGTAAACAGAAAGGCCCTTATTGTCTTTGCTCCTTCCTTATGGTGCAGAAAAGCATAAATGTTTCTGGGGCTCATTTATCCCTTATGCCATTGTTTAAGTAGGGTAACAATCATGTGTCCCCAATCCCATTTGTAGTCTTAGTGTAATTTTAAGTAACGCCTTTCTCACACTTTATGAGTTTCAATGTGTATAACCCCTTCTACAATCACACTAATTTTAAGTCAGTGTCATAATTTTATATATAAAAATATGAAGCTGCTTTATAGAATGATTTTCAGCAAGGCAGAAATAAGAACAACAAAGAAAACACACACACACACACACACACACACGTAAAGAAGAAGCAATAGACAGATGGAGAATTATGGAGATAGGGAGAAAGAATGGCAAAATGAGAAAGATACCTATACAAATAAAAAAACTTTTGTTTCTAAAAGTCATTACTTTCTAAAAACTTTACAGGCCCTGGTCGGTGTGCGTGTAGGAGGCAACTAATTGAGGTGTTTCAGTCACATCGATATTGCTCTTTCTTTCTCTCTTCCACTCTCTCTGAAAATTATAAAAAATTATCAAATTGAGCAGTAAATATGCCACATTGGATATGATTACAAAAGATTACATCATAGTGCTCCTCTTTTTATAAGAGACTTTAAGTCATTAAGTCTTACAGTGGTGACAGTGAGATTGCTTAGCATTGATGATCGCCTGCACCCTCTCTACCTGATCAGAGAAACTAAAAACTGGACTATTTCTTGACACTTTATAATTCAATAACCTTATGCTTTATTGGGAAAGGGAATAAAAATGCAATTGTTTCTAAGAGCCAGAAGAATTCAAAATTTGACAGAATCTAAGAATAGATATCCACATCTACATATAGAAAAAGAAACATCAGTGAAGTATTTACTCATTATTTTAGTAGGTATGAGATTTCAGTTCAGATGTTAAAATGTGACTAAGGAAGATAATTCATTACAATTCATAAATCAGAATATCACTGTATTCTTTCAAACACAACTACTGAATTAAAGAATCAGCACTGAAAATTAATTTAATATATTTAACTGAATTCACTATTTATGTAAGAGTAAATATTCGTTCAGCAATTAAGGACTCTTCATACTTCCTAAAACAATCTACAGATTAATGCATCCCCTACTAAAGTACCAACAAAATATTTCACAGATCTAGAAGCAATACTCCAAAATTTTATAGAAAAGACCCCCCCCAAACAAAACACAAAACTCAGAGTAACCACTGCAATCCTGAGAAAGAAGAAAGCTGGAGTTATCACGATACCAGATACCAAGATAGACTACAAAGCCACCAAAGTCAAAACAGCCTGGTACTGGCAGAATAGATCAATGGAACAAATAGAATCTCCAGAAATTGACCCAAGTCATCACACCCAATTAACATTTTACAAAGAAGGCAAGGACCTACAATGGAGTCAATACAATTTCGTCAATGGTGTTGGAAAAATTGGGCATATATATATATATATATATATATATATATATTGATATCATACCCAAGAATAAACTCCAAATGAATAAAGACTTAAATGTAAGTTGTGAAATCATAAAAATCATAGAAGAAACCATAGCCATCAAAATCTCCGACAACTCTTATAGTAATATATTTACAATATTTTTATATCTTCTAGGACAACAGAAACTAAGGTGAAAATAAACAAATGGGACTATATAAAAATAAAAAGCTTCTGCACAGCAATAGAAACTATCAACAAAATGAAAAGGGAGCCCAATGCATGGGAGAATATGATACATCTGATAAAGGATTAATATCCAAAATGTATAAAGACCTCATACAACTTAACAAAAGAAAGATAAACAATCTAATAAAAATGGGCAAAGGACCTTCACCTACAGATGGCCTAGAGACATTTGAAAAAATGCTCAAAGTCACTCATCATCAGAGAGATGTAAATTAAAATGGCAATGAGATATCACCTCACACATCTCATAATGGCTACAATCAACAAATCTATAGATGACAAAACCTGGGAAGGATGTAAATGAACAGGAACCATAGTACACTGCTGGTGGACAGACAGACTGGTGCAGGCATTATGGAAAACAGTATGGAGTTTCCTCAAAAAATTAAACATTTGACCCAGTGATCCCACTTCTAGGTGTATATCCTAAGATATCAGAAACACCAATCAGAAAGAATGTCCGCACCCCTATGTTCATAGTAGCACAATTTATAATAGCTAAGATCTGGAAATAGCCCAACTGTCCATCAGAAGATGAGTGGATAAAAAGTTGTATTATGCTAAGCGAAATAAGCCAGTTAGAGTAAGTCAATATCACATGCTCTCACTTATATATAGAATCTAATGAACAAAATAAACTGATGAACAAAATGGACCCAGAGACACAGAAGCATAGAACAGACTGGGGAATATCAGAGGGAAGGTGAGGAAGGGTTGGTGGGCAGGAAGTGATCAACCAAAGAACTTATATGTATATATGCATAATCTATGGACATAGACAACAGGGTGGTGAAGGCCTGGGGTGGGGATGGGTTAGAAGGGGTCAATAGGGGAAGAAACAGGATAAATGTAATAGTTTTCAACTATAAAGATTTAATTTAATAAAAGAAAGTAAGAACTCTGCCATGATTTTTAAAACTATATTAGAGACGGTACTACAATCTACGTCTATGTCTCAAGATATTTCCTACAGCTGATATTGATTATCAATGTATTACAATTTGTAACTGCAGAAATCATGAGAGAATTCAAAACTTATTAGCTGTTATTTAAAGTTCTTACAGTCAAAAGAAAATGTTTTCAAATATTGGGATTCAATTTGGCTTTGAGCCAATGTGTTTCTGTATCTAATTATCTATAAGTCAGGCAGTCATTCATTTCGGGTCTGAATTACTGTTCAAAGTAACATTACCTGTGAAGTCCATTCATGTAACTATGCAATCTCTGGTCATTAAAGGTATGATATTGTGCAAATCTGAAAACACATTAATTGCATTCTTAATTAGTAATATACCTGTTTCTGGCATTTCGATGGGCTCTGGATTTCCATAAGCGTGTCCAATGACATCAGGATCATCTCCACCCTCAGGCCCAATAATTGGTTTCGCCAGTTCTTGGGTATCAGCTTCCATGTCAGTCCCTTAGACAGAAAGGTATCAATTTCAGCAAACATGACATATAAATTAGGCAACATTAATATTAATTTATTCTGTTTTTTATATGAAAAAAATTCTGTAATCTGGTGTGATAATATGTGTGATAGAAAGGTGCATTTCACATCCTTGTTTTTCTATACTATGAAACTTGTAAATGACAATCTGAAGATTAACCACAAGACATGTACATTTGTACTAATATGTGTAGAGAGCATTGCCATCAATGAAATCTGAAGTGTACATTATACATAGGATTTTTATTACAATTAAAATATCCTATCAAATAAAGAGGAAATATGCTAATTGACCATCATACCCTCACAAGATGGTGGCACCCATATCCAATAAAGAGGGAATGTGCTAAGTGACTGCCACACCCTCACAAGATGACAGTACCCACAGTCATAAGATGGCGGTGCCCAGTTCCCTTAGCCATAACTCATCCAGCCGCAGTCCCCCAGTACCCTCAGCCCCACAGAGGAATGCAGCTGGGGGTAATCAGGTTGGCAGGGGAGAGCAGTTGGAGACGATTGGACAGGCAGGGGAGGGCAGTTGGGGATAATCATGCCAACAGGGGAGCAGTGAGGTGTCAATTAGGTCAGCAGGGGAGCTGTTAGGGGCCTATCAGGTAGGTAGGCAGGTGAGTGATTTGGTGCCAGATTTTGAGAGGGATCACTGGCAGTCAGACATTCCCCAAGGGGTCCCAGATTGGAGAGGGTGCAGGCTAGGCATGAGGGACCCCCCATGCACAAACATCATGCACAGGGCCTCTAGTAATTATATAATATAAAGTAAGCACCTTAACATCACATCTAAAGGTACTAAAGCAAGAACCATAAAGCCTGAAGTCAGAAGAAAGGAAATCAGACAGACCAGAGTGAAAATTAACAAAATAGAATTTTAAAAGTAAATTAAAAAGATGAGGGTATTAGCTAAAGAACACATATGCATAATCAATAGACATAGTCAATAGACTGACGAAGGCCAAGGTTAGGAGATCTGGGAGTGGGAGAGGTGGGCAAAAGCAGGGGAGTCAAGACACCTGCAATAATGTCAATATTAAAAAATTTTACAGGATCCAAGATGGCTGCATAGGTAAACACCTAACCACTGCTGCACACAACAATTTTAATAAAATACAACTAAAATATAAAATGGACATTACCCAGGACTACAGGAAAGTCGACTGACTGGAAATTCTACAACGAGAAGCAAGGCGAAAACCAGAAGGAAGAGCTGAGGAGCTGTAAAAGCCTAAGGTACGGAGACACGTGGCGCATGCGGAGAGGACGGAGCTGGAGAGGAGGGGGCGGCTGAGTGCCTGGATGGCGTTCCCTAATGTGAAGGAGATAAAAGCTCCGGACTGTGCTGAACCCCAGATCCAACAGTGCTGAACCCCAGTTCTAGGCCACACTCTGAGGACCCAGGCTCAAACAGAGGGAGCTGGGGCTATGAGGCGGAATCCCAGGGGAGCGGCGAAAAGCAGAGCCCCCGGAGCTGTGCACATTGCACTCAGAGGACGGACTTTTGACTCTGTTGCTAGATTGCCCTACTGGGAAGGAGACAAAAGCTCCGGACTGTGCTGAGCCCTAGTTCCGACTGCTCTGAACCCCAGTTCTAGGCCAGATCCCGGGGACACAGGCTCATACAAAGGGAGACTGGGCTGAAAGGCGGAAACCAGGGGGAGCGGTGAAAGGCAGAGTTCCCGGAGGCGCGCACATTGCGCGCAGAGAAAGGACAGTTAGCTGTGCCTCCGGAGTGCCCTGGCGGGAAGGAGACAAAGCTCCAGACTGCTCTGAACCCCACTTCCAACTGAACTGAACCCCAGTTCTGGGCTCATTGGGGGAGAGACTAGACTGTTTGGTAGCAGGTGATACTCAAGGGCACCTCACTCTTAGAGGTGCTTGCAGCGAGTACTGAAGGACCCTGAGGAATACTGAGACTCAGGAGCTGCATAGGGCGTGGCTGACAGAAGCCAAGCCTGTAGGCTCCACCCTGAAACTCTGCCCCATCAGGGAAGCTGGGAAAATGCTGAGACAAGGAAATAGATCACAAACGAAAGAAATGGAGGACAAAAAGTGACTGGATATAGAGTTCAAAATCACGCTTATAAGGTTGTTCAAGAATCTCCTAGAAAAGGCCGAAAAAATAAATGAGACCTATGAGGATATAAAAAGGGATCAACTAGAAATAATAAGGGATCAACAAGAAATAATAAGGGAACAACAAGAAATAATAAGGGATCAACAAGAAATAAAGAATACATTGTCTGAAATAAAAAATATTATACAGAGTCCTAAAAACAGAATGGAAGATTGCAAAAATCAAGTTAAAGATTTGGAACATAAAGAGCCAGAAGACACTCCTCCACAGAAGCAAAAAGGCAAGAGAATCCAGAAAGTTGAAGATAATGTAAGAAAACTCTGGGACAACTTCAAGTGAACCAACATCAGAATTATGGGGGTCCCAGAAGATGAGAGATAGCAAGATATCGAAAACATATTGAAAGAAATAGTGACAGAAAACTTCCCCCACCTGGGGAAAAAATTAGACTTACAAGTCCAGGAAGCGCACAGAACTCCAAACAAAAGGAATCCAAAGAAGACCATGCCAAGACAAATTATAATTAAAATTTCAAGAGCAAAAGACAAAGAGATAATATTAAAAGCAGCAAGAGCAAAGCAGGTAGTTACCTATAAAGGAGCACCTATATGATTATCAGCTGATTTCTCAACAGAAACCATGCAGGCCAGACAGGAATGGCAAGAAATAGTCAAGGTGATGAATAGTAAGAACCTACAGCCAAAAATAATATACCCAGCAAAGCTATCACTCAGAATCAAAGGCCAGATAAAGAGCTTCACTAATAAAAAAAAAAGCTAAAGGAGTTCATCACCACCAAACCAGAATTATATGAATTGCTGAAGGGGGTTCTTTTGGAAGAGAAAGTAAATAAGATAAAAACTATGAACAACAAATACATAACTATCAACAAGTGAATCTGAAAACAAAAAAATTTTAAAAAAAAATTTGATGAACAACATTAACTGTTGAATATAGTAGAATCGAAGGTATGGAAGGGGAGTGAACTGATGATTCTCGGGGAAAAGGGGAGATGGGGATGTGGGAAGAGACTGAACATAAACTGTGCACCTATGGATGAGGACAATGATGGGTGGGGAAAGGGCAGAGGGTGGGGTGGGAACCTGGTGGAGGGAAGCAACGGAGGGGGGAGGTGAAGAGGAACATCTGTAATAATATGAACAAGAGATTTAAAAAAAATATTATAAATAATGAAAACTATAAATATTTCTCCCCCCCCCCCAAATTTTTTTAATAGCCCAGGATGCCTAGAACGTGCAAGTGAACAGCAGAGCCTTTCGCATGAGCCCTAGGCTCTGAGACTGCTCCAGCAGACATGGAAGCTACCACCGCCTGGGACAGCACGAGGAGCAGCCAGCCTAAAACACCCTGAGGAGCAGCCACCACCTGCAACCTCATGAGGAGCAGACACGGCCCATGGTCATGCAAGCAGCCCCTGCTATGAGACCACAGAGGAACAGTTGCTGCCCTTGACTGCCTCAGGAGCAGCCACCACCTGTGATGGTATGATCTGTAACCAAGCTCACTGCTGCAGCTACAGGCCCTGCACAATTTGACACTTAGATCCTTCAGTGAGAGCAAAATTAGGGAGAGAGTAGAACAACCCCCAAAGGAAAAAAAGCAGGAATCGCCAAAAAAGGAACTAACTAACTGTGTAGCATCTTTGTACTTACTTTCAGTAGCTAATGGTATGCACAAAACATGATGGACAGAGAGACCCCTCCCTCCACAGGCACTTTTCTTCCCTTCCCCTTCACCTTGAACCTCAGGTGCTCCTGCATCTGCATGCTCTTCTTCAGGTGTAACATCCTGACTCTCAGAGGGTGACTCCTCTTGTTTAGGTTTTTCATCACTCGGCTGCTGGTCCTAGGGGTGTGTGTGTGCGCGTAAATTAAAAGTTTTGCTGTTAATACATGACAATCATAACAATGTACATAATATACACTCATGTATAATCACGAATAAGAATAAAGGCATTGTGGCCATGATATTTTTATTCTTAATATTGTTTCTCTTCCCTCTGCCTGGTTCCTTCCAGAGGAGCTGCCCACAAGGACTTCTAAAGCTGAAGCTCTTTTAAACTGTCCTGGGATGGATGTGGCAGTCTGTGTTAATGAGCATGAGAAAGGAGCCATAGGGGGTATTTCCACTGGCAATGCCAGAGAGCAAATCTTCTGGATCAAGGTTTCCTTCCTCAGGAACACTCCTGGGCCAATGTTACTCCCTTATCAGCTCGGAAACTTTTAACACTACCTAGAGGCATTCAACAAAACTTATAGGAAAATACATATCTATAATAGACAGTTCAAATATCAAAGCACTCACAACCACGGGTCCAACTTGCTGTTCAGACTCTTCATCTTCTACTAGTATGGAACTCCAGTCATCTTTTGATGTTAGAATCCAACTCATATTTCACACTGGAAGTAGAACAATTTGATTAGGAAAATGTACTTAAGAGGATAACTAGACCACCTCCATGGCTAAATGTTTTCTTTCATTTTTTAATTTTATTTTTTGAAATTCCCTTTTTACATATTTTTTTATATTCCCAAATCATTATTAAAATCTGAAATATATTTATTATCATTTTTTTTTACAAAGAGGGAGAGAGAGGAACAGAGAGTTAGAAACATAGATGAGAGAGAAAAAACGATCAGCTGCTTCCTGTACACTACCTACTGCGGATGTGTCGGCAACCAAGGTACATGCCCTTGACCAGAATCAAACCTGGAACCTTTCAGTCTGTAGGCCGATGCTTTATCCACTGAGCCAAACCAGGTAGAGTCATTATTAAAATTTTTAAATAACAATCACTAGTGGCCTGGTGCATGAAATTTGTGCACATTAGCTGAAGTCGGTTTGGCTCAGTGGTAGAGCGTCGGTCTGCGGCCTGAAAGGTCCCAGGTTCGATTCCGGCCAAGGGCATGCACATTGATTGCAGGCACATCCCCGGTAAGGGGGTGCGCAAGAGGCAGCTGGTCGATGTTTCTCTCTCATCGACATTTCTAAGCTCTCTCTGTCTCTCCCTTCCTCTCTGTAATAAAATCAATAAAATATAAATAAAATTTTTTAAAAAAAGAAATTTGTGCACATTAAAATGGAATTAATAAGAGGAAATATTTTAATATTGTTATTTGCCCATTCTCTATAATAGATGTGTCAGAGATAAACGAAAATTAGTAAAAGGTACATGAAAATCCCCCTCCTGTCAGAGTCTGAGGTGCACCGCAAAACCCAGAGTCAAGTCCCCGCCCACCCACAAGTGCCTCAAAATCATATGAGACTCAGACTTGGCCAGCCCCACTCCTGTCAATCCCCAAAGGGTGGTTGTGTGCAGCCTCAGATCAGTTGGCCTGGTATCAGTCAGGTTGAGCAATCTCAGGCCACCCATTCAGCCCCACCCTGTGGGGGGGGTGCAGCCTCAGGTCTCCAGGCCCAACACAAGGATAGGGGGCATGGCCTTAGGTCTCCTGGCACTGGCTCCAGGGTGAGGAGTATGGCCTCAAGTCCCCTGTCCCTGGTGCCAGGGTGCGGGACACGCCTCAGGTCCTATGGCCATTTTGCTGGAGCAGGAATGGGGCCTGAGATCCCCTGTCCCGGCCTCAGGTGCCATGGCCCCAGAGCCAAGGTGGGGCACATGACCTCAGGTCCACTGGCAACAGGGTACGAGGGCACAAGGGCATGAAAGTGCGAGGACAATGTGGTCATTCGCATATTAGCTTTTTATTATATAGGATTGGGGTGACATTTGTTAACAGAATCACACAGGTTTCATGTATATATTCCATAAAATACCACTTGCATTTTGTATTGTGTGCACCACCCAAAGTCCAGTCTCCTTCTGTCAACATTTATCACCACATTTACACTCTTCTACCTTTCCCACCCCTTTTCCTTCTTGTAATAACCATACAGTTGTCTGTGCTCTTGAGGTTTTTGTTTGTTTAAGCCCTCACGTTTTTCACCCAGCCCAACACCCTCCCCTCTAACAGCTGTAAGTCTGTTTTCTGTGCCTATGTGTCTGTCTCTATTTTGTTACTTCCTTTTGTTCATTAGATTCCACATGTAAAGGAAACCATGTTCCTGGACAGGAAGAATTATCATCATTAAAATGTCCATACTACACAAAGCAATCTATAGATTCAACGTAATTCCTATCAGAACACCATTGATGGATTTCTAGAACTAATATTTCAAAGAATTATATGGAACCCCAACAGACTCCGAATAGTCTCAGCAATTTTAAGAAGAAAGTTGGAGGGATCATCCTGTCTGGTATCATACTGTAAAGCCATAGCAATCAAAACAGCATGGTCGTGCATAAAAACAGATACATACAGGCTGTCCCCACAAATGCATAACCACACTTTGTTTATTTTTATTTTTTTATTTTTAAAAATTTATTATTATTATTATTATTATTATTAAATATATTTTATTGATTTTTTATTTTATTTTATTTATTTTTACATATTTTATTGATTTTTTTTTGCCCCCCTCTTTCCCTCCCACATATCCCCTCCCTCCCCAGAGTTTTATGTCCATTGGTTGTACTTATATGCATGTATACAAGTCCTTGGGTTGATTTATTATCTCCCCCAGACCCTCCTCCCCTCCCCGCTGTAATTTGACAATCTGCTTGATTTTGTACAGAGAGGAAGGGGGAGAGATAGAGAGCTTGAAACATCGATGAGAGAGAGCCATCGATCAGCTGCCTCCTACACACTCCCTACTGGGGATATGCCCGCAACCAAGGCACACGCCCCCGACCGGAATCGAACCCGGGACCCCCCAGTCCCCAAGCTGATGCTCTATCCACTGAGCCAAACCAGTCTCGGCCGGCTTTGGTTTTTTAAAATTGATTTGATTGTTTGTTTGTTTGGCTTTCAGGTAGAAGATGACTGGAAGTACGTGGCCATGGTGGTGGACAGAGTGTTTCTTTGGATCTTCATCGTCGTCTGCGTATTTGGCACCGCAGGGCTATTTCTCCAGCCACTGCTGGGGAACACAGGGAAATCCTAAGGACTCGATCTTTTGAAATGTGCAGACGCTGTATTTGTCCTGTGTTCCGAGCCATAAAGAAAGGGACAGAAAGCTTCCCATCTAAGTCCCCCATCTACGGAAGCTGATGACTAGGAGGGAACGAGGGCTTGATCGAAAAGGAGGAGCCTGATGCCCTCGTTTGTAGCACGACCCTGGAGCCCAGCGCTGGCAGCTCCCACAGGCTTCTCGCTGTGGGTCTGGACATGGCCAGCTTCCATGGCCACGCTGAGCCATAATACAGCGAACCCTGTCATCCCCGTCAAGCCACACTGAAAAGGGGTTCTGCGGTCCCCCCAGTTTATGCTGCTGATCAGCAGAAGGACACATGCCAGGCATGAAACTCTGGAGCATGGGCCTTGCTGATGGGTGCCATGCTCGTGAACTCTTGCAGGCTTGCTTTCTGGTGCATGTCTCTGGGATGTAGCTCACACACCAGCATGATTCCATACATTAGTTAGCAGAAAGCAATGGCGGGTAGTCGGAGTCGAAACAGGTTTGGCTCAGTGGATAGAACGTCAGCCTGTGGACTGAAGGGTCCCGGGTTCGATTCCGGTCAAGGGCATGCATCTTGGTTGCGGGCACATCCCCAGTGGTGGGCGTGCACGTGACAAATGCATAACCACACTTTGAATAATTATAAAGGCAGTGTTTATTAAACTACATTTCATTTACATTGAACAGAAAGTAAAGTGTCAAAGTGTATATACAGTTTTTGGGATACGTTCTAGATGAATGGAAAAAATGAAAAAACTCAAAACTATTATTTTTAAAACTTAGTTTAGTTTAAGTTCGAAAACATGTTAAAAACAGGACCAAGGGTCAGTAAGTGAAAGTGCACAGGCTTTCCGGTGATACCAAATACAGAGGCTTACCAAGCCATCTAGGTCATGGCCATGCTGCCTGCCATCGCCTCAAGCAGGTGAGAAAAGACCACATCTGCTGTCACAATGGCTTCCCCTTGACGAAGACATTCAGGAGAATACTGCTTAAACCACACTGAGTGAGCACCGCTTTGCCCGCTCCGGGGATCAGCCCATTTCCCTCCAAACAGTCCGGCTGGAGCGCACAGGAGGGCTCCGGGCCGCCATGCCGCTGTGCTGCTTGGCACTGCCAGGAGGCACAGGGACCAGGTGCATCCAGGGGCTGTGCCCGTGTCTCCCTGGGGACTCTGCTGGGGGCGCTGCACACCTCGGGAGGGGGCCCGCTCCAGGCCTCAGCGGGGCGGTCCCTCAGCATGGCCGTGTCTAGGCCCTTCCTTCCCCGCCCCTCCCCCCTTCCCAGCACCCCAAGAAGGACCGGGGATTGTGTTCTGTGGGCCGTTCCAGGGCCCTCCAGGGCCCAGACACCCCAAATACTGTCCCCCAAACCCTTTACCTGCCCCCTGCCCCCTGCCCTGGGGCCCAGCCCCTCCTAGTCCGGGTCACCCAGGCCTTCCAGGGCCATGGCGGCCATGATGTCTGAGAGGACAGAGGCGCTGCCCTCGAGGCCCTTCCTCCTTGGAGGTCACAGACCCCGCCGCTCCGCCCCCACCCAAACCTGCGGGCCTTCTCCTCACACTCTGCCATATTAATTAAAGTCCCGGAGGGCAGCTCTGTGGACCTACCAGGTGAATGTGAACCAGCGAGAAGGAATCAAAATGGAAGGAACACTGCCGGGCTCTTCTCCCAGATCTTGGACTGCAAAGCGCATGTGCAGCAACGGATATGGGCTAAAATGCACATGCGCTGCAGCGAGCTTGCGCGGCAATGGGCGTGGTCTGTAATGGGCATGCGCAGCTATTGAGCACACGCTTGCATGAGCAAGTGTAGCTCTGAGCATGCGCAGCTATGAGCATTTGCCCTGATTTCATATCCTGAGGAAGGATTTGAGGTTGTGCCACAGAGCATTGAAATCTGTAGTTCAGCCTTGCACAGGAAAACGGGTTTGAAGCGTTTTTCCCTAACCCCAATCTTTCTTATGCTTCAGAAACTTTGTGGACAGACACGCTAAGTTTAACCTTCATGGAGAATATGTTTCAATAAGATGACCGTGACAGAAACATATTCTGATACCATGTTTACACGTGTAATTTGATGAATCACTGCCTTCTGATTCTGGGATTTGTGTTATGCACACAAGGAATTCACTCACTTCCATAAATTACATCCATTCACCCCTGTTTTCTTATCTTCTCTACTTGTGCTACCGCAAATACATCTCCAGACAGTAAAGGTTTCTTTGAATATACCTCTGGTCCCTCAGTCAGTGTATGGTTTCGCAATACCCTTACATAATAGTGCGAGCATTTAGGCTCAGTCCTTGCTCACATGGTGTGTAGCAGTACTGCATCCTGTACTCTACTTCCCCATCTTCAGATCAACAACTTG